AAATATTTTGGAAGTAAAAAACATTTTTTCATTTTCAAGACTCCAACACGTCGCGACCACAAACTAATTTCAATAATTTCGTATAAGTTCACAGACACTTGAAATGATACGGTCTCATTTGATAAGCAAACTATAAACAATGAATTAGTGTATATAATTTGTATTCTACCCACTCATATTACACTTATAAACACTCATTGATTGTCAGCAGTCAAATGACTGCCGCCGTCTTTGTCGGTAGATCAAGATTTTAAATAAATAATAAAAGAGTTGTGATTTATTTTCATACATAGTTGCATTTAACTAGTAAAATAAATAAAAGTCACAAAATCTCAGTTTAAAAACTCAAGTAGATTTCAAGTTATTCAACATTTAAAATCAAATTGCGGTCAAATGACTGCTCCCGTCTTTCTAGTGTTAAGTTACACCCATTATACTTAAATTTAAAATACATTGGCTGTTGTTACTTTGGGTAATATTAGAAGTTATAACTGAAGCTTTTAACTGAGTACAAGTTTCATTTTCCTTAGAGCTATAGTCTAACTTTTCTAACTGGATTACCAATACCGGTACACTTTCCCAATATTTTCCTAAACAGCGATTCTTTTTCTCAATGTAGGCAGGTTCCTTGAAAGCAGAAGTTGATTCAGCATCATCTAAAAAAAGGGAAGATCAGTAATTTTAACACTTAAACAAATAATCTTTATTTTTTTCATTGAGTAGGAAATTAAAGTTGATTACCTTCCAAATCTGATATGTCATTATCTATCCATCTGGTTTGTATGTTTATGTATATTATAGCCACATTGAATTCATTTGCTATAAATCGACTGTAATTAACCAAAATATTCAAAAAAGACAAACCTGTAAAAAATAACATAATGTTTTGTAAAACAAAATAACATCTGTGATATTTCAATAATACATTATCAAGATCATCAATAGGCCTCCGATACTTTAGAAAGTTTGTCATAATCTCCACATTTTATTCCCTTTTAACCTACCCATTTTATTATCATCTCCAAGATGTTGAAACATCAAGCACGGTAAAGAATCAACAATAACCAGAGCCAAGTTTTTTATTTCAAGGCTCTTGTTTTTGATCCCTTTGAATAGCTCCACCATGTCTTCCATAGTCCATATGTGCACAACTCTGATTCTATACATTATTGACGCCATATCCTGAAATAATATCATGAAATAATAGATACTAGATTTATAAGACTGCAAATGATGTCTTATTGAATTAAACCTTTTTACTCTCCTACACAAATAATTAATGACGATTTACAGAAACCTTCGTAACAAGAGAACCTGAAAGTTTACCTTATGTGAGTATCCTTGAGCTTCCAACATTTTTTGCACTCTGACTGCAGAGAAATCACCTTTAGTATCAACATACAGGACAGTGCCATTATCATCTTTAGCAACATTTACAGCCAACTGGAAACACATTTGAGTCTTACCAGAGTCTGCTAAACCACAAATTTCAGTTATATGTCTCACTGGAAAACCGCCATTTGTTATGGAATCCAAACTGAAAATTAAAAAAATAATAAGTGACAAAATGATTAATATTTTATTTGAAATAATTTTAGAAGAATTAAGAATCTAATTAAAGTACAACTTACATAAAAATAGTTACAATAATAAGCGTAATGTAATAACAATGAAAAAGTTTACAAACAAAAAATACCTGTCAATTCCAGAACTTATTCGATATCTACTTTGATAAACTTTTGTAAGTAAAGCAGTCCCATTTATTAAAGGGGCTGAATATCTTGTAAATATTTCATTTCGAATTGTTAATACATCTTGCAGGCTTAATTTTGTTAATAATGTTAACTTAGATACATCTTCTTGTAGAAAATCCAAAAGTGTAACTATACGATTTTGCGCAAGAGTTCTTATTACACTCTCGGAAAGGTTATGAAAATTCTGCGCCTTTAACTTTTGCATATTGAAATAAGGATAAATTAATTAGTTACGACGAACTTTTAAATTTGAAGTTTGTTTGTTTTGTTCGTCTTTGCCATGCCATGACAAGTCTGTTGAATGGTTTGGAAAATTGGTTAACAGATAATATTTAATATTCATTGTGAATGAGTGAATGAAGGTAGTCGAACTGTGACTCTATATCTGTTACTTTTCTAGGCAAGGGGCTAGCGCAGCGCTGCTCGCCAAAATACAATTCTACAAACGATATCGTTAGTAGAAATGTATGATAATGGGCTTGGGCTTGGGCTTCGGTATGAGTCTGTATTTAATGTTTTACTGTTTAGAGTGTGCGTGTGCGTGTTTTCATAGGTATTAAAAGTGGTTAAATATCATTTCACTAGGGTTTATTTTCTGGGAAACAATGACATCACGTTAGCATTTTGTGGCCTGATGAAGTAAATACAAGCGTGAGCACCAGCTTAACATCCACTTTTCGTATGAAATCTATACCTTAACTCAGTACGTTAACCGGGGCTCCGGCTCGACGTGCAGGAGAGGTGGTGTTTAGTTAGTAAGAGTCTGACACTCCCTCCCGCCTCACCCAGACGCGAGCAGTCATTCTATGATTTATCCCCCCTTAAAAAAAAGCTCAGTATGTCTGTAGTCTTTACGTATGTACATTATATGCGACTATTAAATGTTATACGGAACTTACGAAAGGAATAAATTTGGCTTACATCATTTTACTATCTATGAGAATTTGATCGTCATACCTGTTCGGCAGTGCCTCATAATCCCATTGGAGTATGAGTTCAGTTCAATGAGTAGAGTGAGATTATGGAGGACAAAAGTCTTCGGTGGACAAACAACAATACATCTGTGTGTGTATTTTTTTTTAAGTGGGAAAAATCATCGAATGACTACTCCCACCTGGGTGAGGCGGGAGGGAGTGTCAGACTCTTACTGACTAAAAACCACCCCGTTCCTTCTTCTGCACGTCGAGCCGGAGCCCCGGTTACCCGTTAGGTTCTCCGCGGCTCCAAATCGTTGTATAGGGTGACATTTCAGATGTAAGGTACTTCAGGATTTATTCAATATTAATTAGACGTTTTATGTTCTGGTTACTGCATCATATAGTTGAAAAAAAAAACAAATGACCGACACGTTCTATGATACAAAGTGGTGATATTTAACCTAAAAAGAAATTATCTTTGCGTTTATAAAGAGTCAAATTGTAGAATAGCAATTAAAGGCTGAGGTTGAAATGTCAGAAGTTCACAACCTAATTACAAGGAAGGAGCAAGACGTCTTAGTTTAGAGTCCATTTCACGAAAGAAGTCCCGCAGACGCAGCGCTGTGTTCGCGCGACATAATGTTGCCACGGTTAAATTTATATAGTATGGGGAAATCAGGAGAAATTGACATTAGTTTGATTAACTACGTACTCGAACAGTTCGAGGAATATTTTAAAAATAATTTCTTTTTATATAGGTATTTATGTTTATACTGCTAAGGTCAGATTAGTGAAAAATTAATCTTCCTGTAATTTCTAAAATATAAAATGGAAATAAAGATGTTCAACCAATATCAAATTAGAAATATAAAATAACATTTAAAAAGTTTTATTAAAGTTTTATTGAATAATTATGATCGGTCATACTATGATCACTGTCAGAAGAGTGAATAGAAACAGAATTAGATTCTGTTTCATTATCACTAGCCGTAGATATAATAAATCGATGCATTTCTTCATCCATAAGACCATCATTTTTTAAATATTCTTCCTCCAAATGCTGTACATGTTTGCATTGAACTGCCCAATCTTCCGCTGTAACAGTCTGGAACGCCTCTTCTGTCAGGCGTACAATTTCTTTTGGATCTTGGCCCACGTTTTTAACCGCTACCCGTCTGTTTATAACACACGACTCTCCGACACACCTGCAATAAAACGAACAATTAAAAAAAATCTAACAGTGACTTTTTCCGCATTTAATTACATTATTGTTGAATACAATTTTACAAATTTTTGTTGTGTTATGTTAATTCCTCATTAGAAAAACTTAAGTCTAATTGGTAAAAAATATGTTTAATACGGCAGCCCCAAAATTTACCTGTTATGGCGGCGACTCTTTTGCGAACATTGTCTAATGGTATTAAAACGCTGCGATTCTTCTGTTCCGCTTCACAGAACTCTTTCACTTTTAATATCATTTCTCGACCTGCACTTTTTACAACTTTTGGCATCGTAAATAAACCTTATAATGCACTAATTTAATAATAAACTCACAAAATATCTACCACAACAAACCCACCTTGACAACATCGACAAACGACAACATGGCCGAACTCCCCATTTGTCAAATTTAGTTCCACAATTGTCCGCGGGACTTCTTTCGTGAAATGGACTCTACGATGTACTCAACGATTTCTGAAATCTGAAATACAATTTTAACCATAGAGCTTGAGCATAGACTAGGAATGAATGATAGAGCATACAAGCATCTCGATACAACCTCTTTTCCTCCTCTACCGACGCCCGCCATTTGTGTTTGCTGTCAAACGATGTAATGTCGTGGAGTTGTGAATAAATTGCGATTGTTGCGGCGTAATTACATAGGATATTTTATTTAGTTAAGTTTTATTTTAATTTTCCAACATGTCGAATGCATCGCTTGATAAAGAAACATTTTATCGGCGCATGAAGAAGCTGTACGCAGCATGGAAGGTCTGTAACTCTTCATCTACTGATGTCACCGTTTTTGAGGGCCCGTTGTAGAGTAATTGCATGTGTTACAGGCTGCTGGAGCTGATTCAAAGAGCGATGATGCCTTGGCAAAAGTCGATTGCCTGGTGTCCTGCGTCGGCGTGGACGAAGACACTCTTTACAGCAAGTCAACAGCTCTACAGGTTTGCGCGAGTTTTATTACTTCTCCATGTGCTTAGAAACGAAATTTTAACATGTCAATGCTTTATGAGTCTTAAATCTGCAGTAATTTTAATTGATAAGGCACTTTTGTTTTACGTTTGTTGTGTAGTTCGATCCAAACACTATAATTTTACATATTGAATTACCTGTGAAATTCCATTTATTTGTGACACTCGTATGAAAATCTTATATGAAATGTAGAAAAGTATATTATCATTTAAGCTTGCCACAGTTATTGTATAACATTTATAGTAACAACATTGATGTACCTATTGAACATTTTTGTTTTTCTTCAGTTGGTTTGTAACTGTAAATGTCTGACTTTCAGCTTTGTTACTTGTTATGATGTGATCAATAAGAGATAGTAAACCTATTTTAGTTATCTATTTTAACTTGTGATTCATACAAGCAGTATATATCCAGTGTGACCACTCAATGAGAATCTAAATCAACCAGCTTAAAAAAACATAGTTAATTTTTTTTTAATAACAATAGAGTTTATTACTCTGTGGCTTTACGGCAGCTGGGTTAGATATTTTACTGATTTTATAATTATCTAAATGGATTGAAATGGTATAAGTTACTAGATTTTTTTTTTAATAATTTTTTTAGATGTGTGATTGAGTTACTTTCACCCACTACTCATATCTGAGCCATAGTTATGTATTAGACAAAGAATATATTTCATTTACCTACTTATCTTATTTAGCTTACAAGCTTTAGTTTGAGCAACTTATACCTACAATATGAAACATTTCACATGCTCGAATAATTGTGATGCTATTAATAAGTATGATTAAAGTATTATTGACCCTTACTTCAACTATACATGTAAAAGTAAAATTGAACTGGATGAGAATCTATCATATTTTATAAATATTGTAGACAATAATTAATATGATAGAAAAGAGGCTGAATGAAAAATCCTAAGTAACTTTTGATAACGGGAACCAGAATATTTGTAACCTGACCTTATTGTCTCCGTAGAAATATAAAATGTGATTGGTAGACTTGCTTTTGTGTGTGTGTATGTGTATTATGGTGTAGCCAATAGAAAAAGAGAGGCTAGATATTTCAGTAATCTATTGCTTAATTCAAATATTTGTTGTGCAATACTTGGATAGCAACAGTAATTTTGGAAAATTCATTATAAAATATGAAGGAATCATGCTAAATTACTTGTTTGGGATAAGCAGTGTGTAACTTATATTCCAGTGATAAATCTGCACCTGTATTATTATAAATCTAGGGACAATGGTCATATTTGTATAATTATGTGCATAAACAGACAAACGAAACTGCTATTGGTACTAATGTTTCATTAATGATTACTTAATAACCAATGAGGAAGATAGGTAATCTAAAATTAACAACTAATATGTAATACAATATAAACAGACGCAATTCATTATGATGTTAAATGTTTATATGGTTTATTCAACCGTCAACCACCATTATACATTTACACCAATTTCCCCATTGAATATAGGCCTCTGAAGCAACCTGCAATTTCTGAGTAATGAATATTTAAATTGTATAAAGTTACTCAAATTGTTTTCTTTTCCCATCAGACATGGCTGTTTGGTTACGAGCTGCCTGACACCATAACAGTTCTCACAGAAAACAGTATGTGTTTTCTTGCAAGCAAAAAGAAGATTGAGTTTTTAAGACAAATTGAAAATGGGAAGGAGGAAACTGAACTGCCACCCGTGAAATTACTTGTTAGAGATAGAGTAAGTATTATTAGTTATTCATAGCAGTCTAGATAATTTGTTGTGAGTATCCTGATTCTAGATTGTTCTGCACAAGTGACGTTTCATAGTCTGTGCTAGAAACACTGTTTAAGTTTACATAAGTAATTGATTACCTACCATGTAAATAATGGGCGTGTCTGTTGTGCGCATGTCTGAACACTAGGGATGTTTTGGTAACAACTTCTCTGTAACCGAACCGAACACATGATTACAAAAGATAATGTTTCTATATTGCATGTTGTATAGTTTTACCAATTTTATATTGTGCAAAAGTTTCCATGACTAATGTTCAATATTCTTCTAGAATGACAAAGATAAAGAAAACTTCAACAAATTAGTACAAGAGATTAAAAAATCAAAATCAGGCAAAACACTTGGTGTCTTTGCCAAAGATAATTATCCTGGTGAATTCTGCGAGAGTTGGAAAGCTGTAATGAAAGGTGAAAAATTCGAAAATGTAGATGTAAGTTCAGCTATTGCACACCTCATGGCACCGAAGGAGGATTCCGAAATAATAACCGTGAAGAAAGCATGTATGGTCACAGTTGACGTCTTTACAAAGTATTTGAAAGACCAGATTATGGAAATTATTGACTCTGATAAGGTGAGC